TTTAAATTATTCATAGTAGTGTAGACTATAATTATCTGGGGATTGAGGGTAGGGTTTCCTTCCTAGACAACATACCGTATAACGGGTATTTTCTGCGGTTGTCCAATTTTTGCGGAATTTTGCGGATAGGACAAATCCGCAAAAATTACAATCGCAAAATATTTTTCAATATTTCTTCAGATATATATATTTTAAGTATGATAAGTGGTGCGTATGTCCTCATTGGCAAGAAAATTCTGGTGTCATCGAAATTCGAAGATTTTAGATATCAGGATTTTTCCAAAACATATTGAATTAAAACGTTGCTGTAAATAATATCAATTTAATAAGTTTATACAAAAACATCTTTTCTTGTACCTACATGTACTTCTTTATACGGATATACATGTACATGTAAATGACTAAGAGAGATTTCGCAATTAATGGTCTAAACTCCGATAGCTGCAAACAACACATAGTAGCTTTTTCTTTAACACTTTTTTCAATCTTGTGTTTTATCTGGAGACCATAATTACTGCTTGTATACACAAAGTGGCTTGATTGTCTCGTGAATTTCACACAATGCTGACGACTGACAGGATTAGTTACGCCTCAATGCACATGGCACCTGTGATTGTACACGGTCAACTTTAGGTTACTTGATTATGCAACTGTTTGTTTGAGCTTAAAATATAAACACCAGATTAATTTTGATGGCAGTTATCTATAAGTGTATTTTTTAGAATATGGCTTGGATGCATTAATTATCTATATATTAAAATATTTTAATAGATCGCATAAAACGTTTGTTACAATGTAGAATAAAGATTTTTTATTGTTGTTTGGGTGGACCGATACTGCAATAATTCATTTTAATTGGGACTCGACATAATTTTACAAAGACTAACTGAAAGATAGTAGTTAAATTAAGCTTAATAGCTTAATACCAGTTCTCATGCAACTTTGATCAATATGTCTCAATGAATTTATAAAACGTAAACATGGCAGCTATCTAATTATTCTTAGAGATTGGTGATCATACCCAGTAAATAATTTTTTGCGGTATAATGCAACCGCAGAAATTGAAAACGCAGAAATTAATTTGCTATCTTTTAGGGGTTAAATCGCAAAAATTTCCAACCGCAGAAAATACCCGTTATACGGTATGTGCTTTGAAATATGGCCCATTATTATCGTTTAATTAACTGTTAAACTTAATATTTATGTCACAAAAGAGCTTCCATATAGAGTCCTAGTGTAAAAATAAGCTGTTGATTGTAAAAGTCAGCACCTTTCCAAAAAGTCCATTAGAATACAAAAATAGGAAAAAGGTGTGTTGACCCCAGATTTTAAAAAAAATGGAAAACGAGGGGAGGGGGTCCAGCCCCCAAGTGCCTCTGGTCCTTTGTGCATATATAGCCCCATGTTAAAATCATAGGAATACATTGGAAAATCTTAAAAGTCTTCTTCTCAAGAACAGCAAATCCATGATTAGTCATAATTATATGGAAGCATTCTCAGGTAATGTAGATTGAAGTTTGTTCAAATCATGATCCCATGGGGGCTATAAAAATTAATCATAGTTTTACATAAGAAAAGGTAGGAAAAAGAATTTGTTGATGAAGATCAGAAGGCCAGTCACTCAGGTGAGCTTTGTAGCCCCTGGGCCTCTTGTTAAGTGAGCATTTTCTAATCAAAATGTGTCCTCTGTCTGTCTGTGTTGTCATAGAATGTTGTTTTTAATTTTCCACATTTTTAGGGCCCTGCAAGGATTTGCAGGTGCCCTATAGTAATCACTCTGTCTGTCTGTCCGTCTGTCATTCTTCCGTCCACAAATTTTCTGTTTTTTTCTAATAACTTTTTTTGTAGTTGACCAATTAAGTTCAAATTTGGTATGTTGGTTGAAGAGGCAGTAAAACATATTTTGATGCTAAATTTGGTTCTCTTTGTCATCCAGTTTGGAGCTGGGGTGGTGGGGTAGATTCCTTAACTTTACATTAGAATGAATGCCAGGGCAAAGAGAGATAACTGCTGAGAATGTTCCTATTGTAAACTATGAAAGCTGCAACCAGTCCCATGGGATTAATTAACTTTCCTCTGGAAGAAAATCCAAAGCATTTTCTGTTTCTGTCAAATTGAGATTGATACCTCTGTCTGCAAATGAAATTTGTTTTGAAGTTAAGGTCAATTCTGAATGATGTTTACATTTGCTGAAATGTGGATTTAAATAATGATATTTTCCCACGTTTCGATAGTATAGCGGGAAAATGTTGTATTAATGACAAGATGTTTATACACATGTAGTGTGGATTGGTCAGAGAGTGACCAATAGAAATTGATTTTGATGTGTAATAGAGAACTGGTTTTAAAGGTTGGTCACTTCTAGCCGCCGATTTAAGCGAGCAACATCAAAGTTTTCACAATTTGTAGATATAAGAAAATTTTTTTATCAGGTATACATGTAGGTTGTGAGGTCCGTCACAACTATTTTTGCATCCAGCGGCACTTGGCAATGGACACAGGTTTCTAGAGTTTTTAAAATGATTTTATCTCTAGTTTTTCCTGGCTGGCCCTGATGCTTTTCAAAATTTTCAAATTATATAATTATAATATATGCAGCATTTTTTGCAAATTTGATGGTTTTATTTCGTTATACAATGTACTGTATGTATATATTGATTTATTGTTTTGTGGAGACTGTCAATAAAATACGGCGTCCAGCGCACACTCGGCTGGCTGTCATGCATAGCATGTTGTTGTTTTTCATGTTGGTAGTATAAAAGTAATGGAGTGAATACTGTTCATACTTTATTTTGGTAAAATACACAATGAATTATGATTTTATTGAATTCTAAAAGCAAGATATACATAAAGATATGTTTTGTTTTTTTTTGGTTTTGTTTTTTTTAATTTTATATTTATTTATTTTAGGGATGTCAAATTGGTCAATTTTTGATAATCGGTTACTCGGACATTTTTCCGATCGAGTACCCGGGTACTCGGTAAAAATGTAAATACAAGTGTGTTAATTTTCTTGAGCCCTGTTAAGCTCTGTTTAACCCAAAAGTTGTTTTTATCACGTTTATACATGTATATAAACATCGAGTTCAACGGAAATGATTTTTGGGTCCTAAATTTATTTATCAAAAAAACACAAATTAAAGACACAATTAATGCATAAAAATTACAATTGAAATGGTTTACAGTTCTTGTTTAGGATCTATTTCATCAATGCTTAAGGAGCTAGGACAATCTGTTACGTAGGATTGTGATGATAAGAATAGCGAAAGAGAAGGAACATACCTTGTTACATGTAGGATTGCTAGTCTAATATCATTACATTTCTTAGTTGTTTCCCTCTGTATACACTTAACTTACTACGCAAACTGACTTTCAACTTTTTTAAAAAAAAAATCTTTAGTTATTTCTAAATATTTCTTCACTTTTGAAGTGGGTTATGCATGTCGAATTTTGCTGTCGTATATTAACTAAATAATTTAAAAATGATTTGAAGATAATAGATCATACTTAAACGATATTCACTGAAAATAATCATTGAAGCCATCCAAAAATTAAGGACCACAATAGGTGAGAACAGCTGTGTACGGGGTGATTGGTCACTTATTACTGTATGTACACAGCCACGGGCGATAACGGGTGTTTTACAGGTGTTGATGACGACACGCTAATTACCGCATGCATATTTAAGTTAATTTTTGAAAAGTTTTTGATAGAAATATGTACTTTGAAATATAAGAAAAAATACACATCCGAGTAACCGAGTACCATTTTTAGTATTCGATACTCGGACGTTCGATCGAGTACCCGGTGAACCGGGTACTCGTTGACATCCCTAATTTATTTTATTTATTTATTTATTCATTTTATTTTTTTTTTTTGCTGCCATATGTAAATTCAAGAATACTACATGTATTAATTTTAACAGGTAGTCTGATAATAAACTCATTCTATCATTACTGAAAAAGTTCTTATTGTAAAATAGGAAGAAAAGGATGAGAGAGCAGTACAATTAATCCCCTGGGATTAATTATCTTGTCTGGGGCAAAATTTTTCCAGGCTTATCTTTATTTGTCACTTTTTTTTGTCTGCAACTGATGTTTCTTTTGAAGTTAAGGTCAAGCCTGGGTGATTTTGCATTCACTGAAGGCTGGCATTTTATAAAACACATGCTTTTTTCTTGTTTAAATATACATTTCATTGAGTTATTATAGATGTGATGTTTTTTACTGCCTTATGTAAATACAGGGATACTCTTTACAGGTCGTTGGATATTTAGGAATTATCTTGAAATTTTATAAATACAGTTGTTATTGCATATTCTTCTTCATATATTTTTAAATTTTTGTAATCAATTAAAATTCTCATTCTGTAAGTTGCACCCTTATATTTCAACCCCTCGGCGGGGCCCTTGCTGACTGGTCAGTTTTCTAGTTGATTTCTTCAGAACCACTGGGCCATTTTCAACCAAACTTGTCACAAAGCATCCTTGGGTAAAGGGGATTCAAGTTTATACAAATGAAGGGCCACCTCTCAAGACTGGTCAGGTCATACCTCTCAGGATTAGAGTTGGACCATAATTATTGAGGATTAATATTTCACATGGGAGTATATAGGGGGGAAAATCTCCCTATATCCCTAGGTGACTAAGGAGAACATTGTGGCCCATGAACTTCTTGTTTTACTCTCTGATTATTTTGAAATAAACTTCAGTATTGGGTCAGACCTTGAACCAAAAGCAGATGGATAAAGCTTTGTATATTAAATTCAAACCTCATTTATATCTTGAACTGGATGGGACCAAGAAAATACTTCGAGATATCCAAAGATTCAAGATATCAAGGGTAAAATACTTAAAGAATAAGTGGTTGGGACTTCCAAATTCATTCAAAGTATTCATGGTATTCAAGATATCAGAGATACCAAAGTTTATTGTATTGGTAGATTAAATTTCTCTATAGTGTTTCAGTCATTGATTATAAAACATATGTCTGTTTGCAAAGGCTGTAGAAGTTCTCCAGTAAACATGGAAGCTCGTCCAGTTGATTCTAAGATGATCACAAGGCGCTGCATTGTGGCCAGGTTACAGGAGGTGTCCATTTCAAAGTACAGGGACCTGATACAAGAGAATGCGGGGGCTCTACTGGTTCTGCTGCCCTCAAATCTAAGCTCCATCTCCAAAGAGGACAAACAGGTTTGATAGAAAATATTCAGCTAAACCATAACTAATTTTTGTTAATCATGTTTCTTGATTCTATGAAGCAGTGGCAGATATTTCTTTTATTTTTATTTTAAGAAAAAATGAGCTGTCGGATAAACAATTTTTAGAACTAGGTTATAATAATTTTGGACTTGTTATAAGAGATCAATGAATTTTTATGCCCCCTTTGAAAAAAGGGAAATATTGGTTTGCATCAGTCAGTCAGTGGGTTGGTTGGTAGGTAGACCAAGTGTTTCCTGTTATTTTGAGAACTCTTTGCTCGGCAAACATCAAATATGGCACACTTCTACCCGCTAAGAAGTAGATGACCCCTATTGATTTCAAGGTCACAAGGTCATACGTCAAAGGTCAGACTACTCTGGATATTGAAAGATATTGTCTGCTCAATATTCTGAGAACCCTTTGCTTGACAGACACCAAATTTGGTACGCTAGTACATTACCCTTATGAAGTGCAGAAAATAAGCATTAAATGCTTATAAAAATATTTGTTTCTCATAATTTTTGCCGAAAAGATGCTTATTCAACAGGTTTGACAATAAACATAGTACATGTAATTCCTCCTGCAAAATTACCAAGTTTATTTTACTTTTTTTATTTCAAATAAAATGAGCAAATTTACCTTTACAAATGAATTCCATTTTTTTTCTGGGGATTCTTGTAGGAGTACAAGTACATGTATTGCAAATATACTGTAAAAGCACAAATTTTTGTTGGGGATAATATTTTGTTGATTTGTCATCTAAAAGGTTTCGTGGGCATTAAATTTCGTTGTTTTGAAAGTAATCCTATTCAATATATAGTCAATTGACATATAAATATTTCGTGTTGGATTTAATTTCGTTGATGATTGTTAACAATGAAATAAATGAAATTTAATCCCCAATGAATATATCTGCTTTTAAAGTATATCCCATTTGGTTTCTGCACAAAAATTATGACAGTTTTGGGGTAGGTTGTTTATGTTGGGGTCTCTTGGTCTGACAATGAAGCAGCAGGTCACATTGACCTACTTTCCAAATTTTATGGCTATTCATTTTCAAAACATATTAGCTAAATATATTGGACACTAGGAGGCTTAGAGTTAACAAACCTTGTCAGTTGATGCATTTTGGGGCCTCAGGGTGCATCAACTAAAAAGTAGGTCACCATGACCTACTTTCTGAATTTACTGCAAATTATTTTGAAATTGTTTAACCTATATAATTTGAGCACTTGGAGGGTAGTAAACCTGATTGTTTGATTCATATGAGCTGTGTCAATTCAAAAGTAAGTCACAGTGACCCTATGTTTTGCATTTCATCATTATTCATTATTTAATCTTTATATCTCTGATACTAAGAAGCCTAGGATCATCAAACCTTGTCAGTTGATGTCCTCAGGATACGTTGACCCAAATGTAGGCCACAGTGACGTACTTTTTGCATTTTATTATTGTTCATTGCCAAATCTTATATCTTTGATACAAAGAGGCCTAAGATCATCAAATCTTGTCAATTGATGCACTTAAGGTCTTCAGGATATGATAACACAAAAGTAAATCAAAGTGACCTACTTTCTGAATTTTGTAGCCATCCATGTTCAAATTGTTTTAGATTCATATCTTGGAAACCATGAAACCTAGGATCAGTAAACCATGTCAGTAGATGCATCAGGCCTCATACTGTGTCAAACAAAAGTAGGTCACAATGACCTACTTTCTGTACTTTCTGTATTTTACAGCTTTTCATTTATACATAAAAAGAAGTTTAGAAGCATCAAACCTTGTCAGTTGAGGCATCTTGGTGCTGAAGAGTTCCAAGATTTGCCAAATCAGAAGCAGGTCACAGTGACACTGTTGTGCTATTTATCAGAAGAGCAATTCTAGGCCCTTGAGCCTCTTGTTAGTTGGTGACAGAAAGCTTGGCTTTGACTGTTTCATTGGTTTAAAACTGATACTTTTGCTAAATACAAAATATAGGTTTTTGCACAATTTAGTCATTTCTCAATTTATTCATAAGTAGTGCAGACATTATTTGCGTGCTTAATGTTGCAGCACTTGCAGATTTTGGAGAGGGATCTACTGACAGAGGAAACCACAATTCCTGTGTACTTTGCTCTTGAGACAGATGAATTGTCTGAAATTTATGAAGAAATCCACAGAGGAAATGCAGGAGATCAGGCCACAACTGCTGTTGAAGGTATGAACATGACCTTTAATCATCAGTAAAAATAACAGCTTCTCTTCTTTATTGTTGCATGGTAGCTTTCTAATTCTGAATACAAGTGTATCATCTTGTCATAGCCCTGATGAGTGGAGCCACAGCTAATGGGTTCCAAATGGTTATAGCAGGGTCTCAAGCTAAGAGTTTGGGAGAATTTCAGATCACAAATATTCAGGTCAGTATACAGAAATCTGAATTTTTGTATATATAATGTAAAAGAGTGTTAATAGCACATAGATTCATGATTCTGACAATTTTATTGACTTGTGTATAAAAATTGTGGGCCAGAGATTTTGTTGAAGTTCTCTCAAATGTTCTGAAACTGCTTTAAATCAGTATCAACAAATGTTTTCTGGCCTTTGGACCTCTAGCAGGGCACTACACTGCATCTTCAAGGGACTTTAGTCCTTTGGATTTGCAGTCTTTTCCCCATTTATTTCAGAGAAGGTGTTTTCCCCAAAAGCTAGATCAATCCCTGAATACAATCTTTGGATGTTTTATCTTTCAGGGTCACTTGTCAGGCTATGGTATTGAAGAACAACTTCCCACTGTGGCTGTAGTTGCTCACTACGATTCCTTTGGAATTGCTCCAGTAAGTCTTTTTTATTGCATCTGTATGTCAAATTTATATTAATTTTCAAAGATTATTTACAATTAATAAATTCATTGTATAAAGTGTATATATTTTCAATTTTTTCCTCACTTTGTGGTCACACTTTGTTCTGTGTACATTATGTGATCTCACCTTTTCTTCCTAGAGCCTGGCCCAGGGTGCTGATGCTAATGGTAGTGGAGTGGTTGCACTGTTGGAATTGGCTCGCCTCTTCTCCAAACTCTACACCAATTCCAGGACACATGCCAAGTAAGATCATACTTTAACCAGAACAGGACATTTCTCACTATAACCTTAAATCCCATTGTTATACTGATACTTTGTCATTCTTATTTATTAAGGTTTAACCTAGTCTTCCTACTTTCTGGAGGGGGTAAATTTAACTATCAAGGAACAAAGAGGTGGATTGAAGACAATCTAGACTCACAAGGTAAGACTATTGATTGGAATTACTTATGTTTTAGCTTACTTAAGTATTCACAACCATAGTACTTTAGAACTTCTCATATTTAACAAGCATTTTATTGATATTTCAGATTCAAATTTACTGTCAGATGTGTCCTATGTCCTGTGTATAGACAGCATTAGTAAATCAGATGAACTATATCTACATGTCTCTAAACCTCCGAAAGAGGACTCGCCTGGCAGTCAGTTCCTACAGGTAATTGTTTCCTCCTGCATTAGCTTTATGCACCCTTCAAATCTTACATGTGCAACTGAATCAAGACTCAATTTAATATTGGAATTGGTTCAGGTTCAAATCCTTCATGTACAAGTGAATCAAGGCTCAATTTAATTTTGGAATTGGTTCAGGGCTAATATCAAGAGTCATAACATTAAACCAGTCTTTGGAGTTTGCTCAAGTTGTCAATGGAAAGACCAACACCTACTCTTTGAGATGAATTATGACATTTATAAAAATGATGGTATAAATATAAACAGTTATGAATTTTTTACACACAAGTATTTTGACAAAGCGATTTGCAGTTAGGTGATGTAGAATTCAAGAGAAAATAGAAAATACAGGTAACTCTTGATGGCTCGAACTTCGATCTCTCGAAGTTCTTGATCGCTCGAAGTGAGTCTCTGGTCCGGAATTTTTCCACTATATAACTAAGCAAATTTACTCTTGATTTCTCAAACTCTTGATCTCTCGAAACCCTTGATCCCTCGAAGTCAAAATGCAGTCTCGCTATGCATATTCTATTAGAACTTACCCTCGATACCTCGAAGTGGCTATGTGTATACAAGATTATATAATTAGCACCTTTACCTGGACATTTGAATGGCCCAGGCAGAAGACGCGGGTCTCGAGGAACGGGATGTTTATCAGGTGACACTTATGCTGCAAGGTGATAATTGATTTATAATTTATCATATTTTGCCTATAGGCTATTAAAATAATTATCATCGACTGTCTTACGATAATTTAGAGACGAAGTGTCATTGAAAAGTAGTAATTGATTAAAAGACAAAACACTAATCTAATTTTTAATTCGAGTCACTCAGTGTCAAAGTTAAACGAACTATGAATAAAGCAGAAACAGCCTCAATGTCAATATGACGACTATTATTGGACAAATACTTATAGAACTGCGTTTAATGATCATTTTTGGAATAGTCAAAGCTATGTACGACGCTGTAAAATGTCGTTTTCATGTAACGAATGCGTAGTATGATGTCCGTATTACAAAGAATAAATAAATATACATGAAATGACGATATGGACATTTTTTGCTTTACTCAGTTTAATGAAATATTCATCTGAATTACGAAACAATATCGTTGTTTTATAAAAACCACATGTAAAAGGTTAGCACTGCATGAAAATCAATACATCCGTTAAGACTAATTTTAAAACCTGTCAACAAACCTGGAAAATTCCGGACTCTTGAAAACTCGAACTCTTGATCTCTCGAAGTTTTTCCTTGGTTCCGCGGACTTCAAGGTATCGAGAGTTACCTGTATTAAGAGCAAATTGGTTTAAAAAAGAAAGATTTTTTTAATTTTCCAGAATCTACAGAATGTTGTCAAGTCATTTTATCCTGATGTCAAATTTGATATGGTGCACAAGAAGATCAACTTAGCAGAAGATCTGCTGTCATGGGAACATGAGAGATTCAGTATCAAACGTCTGCCAGCATTTACTCTGTCTCACTTCCACTCGCACAAAGACCCGGACAGAAACACAATTCTAGATATAAGGTATTTTGTTTTAAAAAAAACAGCTGTGATATTTCATAAACAATTCAGTTTGTTCTATTTTGTAGGTTTTATAGGTTGTTAGATTATAGGTGTTTTGAATGTATATTAATTGTATGTACATGTAGTTTGGTATTTGATGAAGCCTGTCTGAAAGTTAGTGCTTGTATGTAATCCCTTATTTGTTATCATACACACCAAATAACTGTGACACTACTGATTTAGGAAAATTGTTTTTTATGGTGAAATAACTCCAACAATTTGAGTGTGTAATTATTTTTTTATATTTTTGATTTTAAATACATATTTCTACATTGTCTAATGAAACTTGTTGTCATAAGCCATAGGTTTTTATCTACCCATTCTTCATAAGAGTAAAATTCGTAGAAACAGGAGTGGATTAATTAAAATGCATGGCTCATGGCAATAAGTAAAACTTGATAAAAGTACAACATATGAATTTCAGCAAAAAAGATACTGGGCCTCATTTTTTTCTTTTTTTTGTGTGTGAATTTTCATCATTCTTCAGTGTTATCCTTTATGTGTTAATGTATTTTTCTTTTGTAAACAATTGTTGCAACAGTTTACTTGTAAATAATTTTTAGCTTACATCGATGAAGTGGAGATGAGCTTATGCTTACACTCCTAGCATTGGTGTTGGCACCAGCATCACAGGATAATGTTTTTGAAGCAGGTCCATTTCCCAGTTATACCTGGACCAGACTTAAATAAATGATGCATTCAGGGATGCTTCCTTCTATCTGTGCTTTAGATGCTGGGTCTTGTCACTATTTTCTAGATGATAGTATACAGTTATGGAATGGGTATGAGCAATAATAATAAAACAGGTTAAAATTTTTGGAGCAGGTCTATTCATGCATAACTGTTTGCCCTACCAGGACAAAACTTGCATAGATGATACTTTTAGGAATGTACATTACCAGACTGCTTCAGATGTTGCATATGATCTAAATTTTCCAGATGAGTGATAAGATTAAAGTTTTAGGTATATGTCCATTCCCAAGCAACTACATGTTCAACATGGACCAAACAGCATTTAATGATGCATCAAAAAATACACATCTTTCCACCTTGCTTAAGAATCTCTGAGTGAAATGGTCATGTATGTGTAGTTGTTCATTGAAAGGCTCATGATGAACTTGCATGTAACAAATGGATCTTGGTGAAAATTCATTTTGTATGAGACTTTGTAGATAACATTTGTGAAAATGAGCATTGTAATCTTTGATTACTCTTGTTTATATATATTTTTTCATTTTAGGGAAAATGTAGATACAGGCAAGCTGAGCAGAAATATTGGTATTATTGCTGAAGCCCTAGCTAGATATGTTTACAATGTCAGTAGTCATGGTAACCTCCAGCTCTTCTCTGAAGGCCTGGTAAGAAACCTCGCTATACATGTACATGCTTTAGTAGATGAACAATATAAAGTTTGTCAAAGACTCTTATTAAGCCTTGCTAATTTGGCAGCATTGTTCATTTGCTATATGCTATATGTAGTACATATATATGTATTCTGTCTCATAATCTGTTACTTGGAAGAGGGTTCAAATAGACTGCCAACTGTCCATAATTTGATTAATTTTATTACACAAATACATTATTAATGTATAAAGCCAGTGTAAAGATATATTGAGAAATTACTAATTTTTATGGAGGTTTAAAATGGGTTGTTTTCAGGGGGTTTAATTTTGGTTGATTTGAGACTCACAAACTCATGCCCTCTACAAATTGTAAAATTTCAAATATATAACAACTCAACACTTCTTCACCTACAAAATCAAATCCCTAAGAACCAATATTTTTCCTGAAACCAAGAAAATTTGAACCCCCCCCCCCCCAAAGTGGTTTACAGTAATCTTATTAAGAGTATTCAAGGTACATTTCTTGCCAAGTTGCATTGAATTTTTTAGGGATACTTTATGACATGAGACAAAATTCTAATTTGAATTTCAGCCAAAGCTTTTGACTTTGGGGACAAAAAAATAGTACCTGGTACATGTATTGCAAAGTTTAGAAATTGTTCAGAACATTTCAGTTTTCATTTCTTGTTATTTCCTCATTTGTCAGGGAAGATTTTTCATTAAATTAATTAATTATAAAGAAAAGCTGTGTCTGAAAAAAATCTTGATTTTAAGCAAAAAAAAAAAAAGAAGAGAAATTTGCTTTTTAATTTTATAAATTAGATTACCAATATGTTTGCCATATTTCTCCCTGGGAATAACTAACAAATAAACACTGTTTAGGGGGTACAGGAAGACTTGGTTGAGGCCTGGCTCGGACAGCTGACATCACAACCCCGCGCAACTCAGCTCCTCCCCAAGGGTCACAGTCTCCATAGTAACCTAGAGGAGGCCATGAGTCGATACCTCAAAGATGTACGACGAACAACATTTAAAGCTGATAAGAGGTGAAGCAGTTTTTGTACTTTCTGTTTGGATGAAGGGAAACAAAAATTATGAATAATCTGAGAGTATTGCATTAGCAATACTAGTCCCCTACCGGCAAGTGTAATCTCGTTCCCATTAAGAATTGAAAATGCCATAATTCCGTCAAAAATTAATGAAGCGGGACAAATGCAAACTTGATCTATAACTAATCAAGGTAAAGCCACATACCAAAAATCAGCTCAATATCTACAAGCGTTTAGAAGAAAATTGCGGAAAACCCGTAAAAATTGAAAAGGCCGTAATTCTGTCAAAAATCAATGAAGTGGAATGAAATGCAAACTTGATCTGTAACTCATCAAGATACACTCACATACCAAAAATCAGCTCAATATCTGCAAGCGTTTAGGAAAAAAGTGCGGAAAACCAAGTGGGACAGACAGACAGACGGACGGACAGACTCAGAGGAAACCTATAGTCCCCTCCTGTTTCACCGGTAGGGGACTAATAAACAAATAATAAATTTCATGGTCCCAGAGAGATAGGGGCAAAACCATCATAATTCATGCCATCTTAAAACATATTCCTCTACAGTAAAACTCAGTTATTAAAAAACCTGCTTGTGAGGAAACATTGAATTTGAATTCTGTAGAAGACTTTGCCCTTTGTTATTTATACACAGAATCATGATTATAAGGAAGAGTCCATTGACTTCCTTATAAATGAGTCTTTCTTTACATTGTATTTCTGATCATGTAGCAGGCTAACTGTTTCATGATTATGAAGTGTTATCCCTTTATCAAAATTGTATCCCCTGGGTGCAGTATGGCTGGGCCATATATATTTTAAAAAAATATATCTTTGAAATCAAGCATCTTTCTCCTGGAAATTATAAGCGTTAATGCCTCAATAAATCCCTGAAACTTCTCTCAAATGGGTTAGGATACAGGTCGTAGCAGGGCTAAAATTGACTTCTTTGTACAGAAAATTCATTTTTTCTTTTAATTATCATTGTAAATGTACTTTTTCTGTTCAATCCCCAGGTACAAAATAATGCAAATATCTTGAATAGCCTTTGTATTTCTTAAACGCACTTTAAGTATGCCATGACAAATTTCATTGGAAAAATTGTGGCCATGTACATAAAATATATCTTCAGTATTTACTCTGGGACATAATTCTAAGGAACTTTAAAAAGATGAGCTAGCAGGATATTTTGCCATGTCTGCTTGTTAATTTTTTAATCTATTTGTTTTCAGGGATCCAGAGTTTGTCTTCTATGATGGTGCCCAGTACACTATGAGTTCATACAAGTAAGCTCATACCTATCTTTGGATCTGGACAGTATTCTTCTTAAGAATTTGATTTAATTTACTTGCTGATGCTCATTACCAGTTACATGTACTCACTATTAGATATGAACCTTTATTACATTGTCAACAGTGATATACTGTAATTTATTTGTTGAATAAAAATGCTATTTTGTCACATTGTGAAAGAATATCAAAGTGATATTTTTTCACAGTGTGAAAGAACATCAGAAGTGCAGCAAAACTCAAGATCTTCACGAAGAGTGTTGTAAAAAAAAAAAACTTCCTGGCCTGTTATAAGATAAAGTAAAAAATAAACCATCCTGACAGAGACTAAGACTGCCAAAATTTCTCCAAAGATGTTGAAATTGGTGTTACAATGTTTTCAATCTCATAATAACTAACATGACATCTCAACCGCTCAACTATGACATCGCAGCCTATGACACTGCATTACAAAAGACAGAGGCAAAAGGAAAATCAAAGAAAATGTTATAAACAGAAAATTAAATGTTTTGTGCTTGAAAATGGAATTTGTTTCATTCTTGTGACAGGATTTTTTATATATTTTCACTCGTGCTTTACACTTATGAAAATATCAAAAATCTGGTCCCACTCATGAAATGAATTCCATATCCAACTACAAAACATTGAATATCCTCTATATATTGAGAAAAGTTCACTATCACAAGAACATTTGCAGGATAGCGTTGTTTGTCATTAATTTGTAAGGAGATTCCATTCCGCTTTAAAGTTTGCTTTTATGCTTAATGCTAAGGCTGGAAAGTTAAAACAAGTATTCCTTTTAAAGGAATTTTACCTAATATTCAGTAGCCCTTTTCACAAAAGATTAAAATTTGACAACTCTGTAAATTCTTTGTTTAATTTATACATTTATTCTCCCCGAATGATTTTTCACAAAATATTGTTATGTAACAGAACTAAAAAAATTTTGTGACCTACTGTAGCTTATAAAGACTTTTTTTGAAGAATTGAAAAACTTTTGTCTTAGTCATAAGATATTTTGTGAAATAGTCCACAGATGTCAAACTTGTGACCTGTGTAATGGCACAGAATGTACGGCACAGTCCATTGCCTTATAAAGAAATAAACTAATGTAATATGAGTTAGACTGACTTGAAACACCAGTGTAATTGTATGAATGTTTGCACATCAAAGCTCCTTTGTACTTGATGTGTTATGACAAATTTACATGAAGCTGTCAGTGCATAGTAAACAAAGTAGTCTGTCGTGTCATGTATGTGCAAGGGATACATTTGCTGGATGCCTCACATGGAATTAACAATGATTAACCAAAGCCAATCACAAATAAAAAAAAAGTTATATATAGAACTTTTGTTCAGTCCACAGTCCTTATAAAGCTAGAATTGTAAAGGTTTGGTAACCAGTGATTATTTGCAGGCCATATGTCAAAGATATTTCCATAATATGCTAATTTGAAATTAGAACTTGAATTGAAAGCCTTTGTTATTTCTAGTGTAAAACCTGCCATATTTGACCTGTTCCTTGCTGTAGCTATAGTGGCCTACCTGGCTCTTGTTTACCTGGCTGTACAGGTATGTATATTTATTATACACAGTACACCTTAACAAGCTCCTAAAATTGCAAGATCAATTATAATTATACACATGTAACAGTAAAAAACACTTATAATGAAGTCACACTTACAACGAAGTGATTTTCCTTCCCCATGGTTTCAAAACATTATGGATATAATGAATTACATTACAAATGAATTACAATACAAAATTGTCCACTGATAGCACTTTGCAATAAGCATGTTTTACTGTATAAAGAAAGCAGATAAGTTTGTAGATCTGAATACCATGCATTTGATGAAAGTTAGTTCATAGGAATGGGTTATTTCACATTTCTTTTTTTATAAATAGAATTTCCACCTCTTCTACATTGCTATGCAGAAACTTTCAAGTTCAAAAAAGATCAAAGTGCAATAAACAGTAAGTAAGAGCAAGAAATACTGGAAATTTAGAGCATTATAATTTGTCAAGTGTTGTTTTTAAAGTTAGAGTTATCTCTCTGTAGATTGTCTTGCTTGTTGAAATCCTGATCTCCGGCGCTGTTTAGTGTCCCTAACCTCAGTGTAACAAACCACATGCAGAGACTGGTAGCTAGTATTTGTGATATGTAAGATGAACAATCCAAAGATGACTTTTTTCTACTCATTGATGAATTTTTTGTACTCCTTAAATTAAAATTTACAAGTTCTTTTTTTTGTTTGTTTGTTTTGTTCCCAAACATCTCAGTTGAACACATACACAGAGGCTGAAATAATCTTTAATAAAAAAGCATATTATGACATACTTCAAAGGTATGGATGTTTTTTGCATTATGCCAACAAAATAATAATCACTTGCTATGAAAATTGAATAGTAAAATCTGATTATATGGACATTGTATTAGAATTAGTAGAGACGTATCTTAATACTATACAGTAAACATACAGTAAAAAGAAATGGACACAAAGCAATCTAATTATTAAAAAAAACTTTCCATTTTTAGCACAGAGCTTCCAAAGTTAATTCATGCAGGAGTACATGCCTCAAAATTCACTAGATACAACAAATGAATTTTAAGAAGATATTATTACTCCGTATGCGTAAAATTCCACCATTGAACATATAACAGTTCATGCTTACTTGAGACTGAATCAGCATCAGACAATTTATTATAAGCTATATGGCAAGAATTATCACACGTGTTCTGATTCATTTGCAATGTCCCACGATATTGGATTTCGCCTGTTTTGAGGTGGTGCGCTTTTACACCGACGTCCAGGCCAAGTATCTGATGCAGACATCACCAAAGTGTTGGGACGCCTATTTAAATTAAGCTTCTGAATAGTCATCGCCTCGGACACCCACTCAGGATCAATTACGTAGATTTCATTTTTCGGTCCAGTTGGAGTGAACACCCCACCATCATATGCATATGCCGACTGGGGTCTATTGGTTTTGGTGGGTTTTCCCGCGGGCGGGAGATTTTCAACACGTGATTGACTCAGCTGATGTAGTTTTGCATAGTGATTCAGATAGCTAGCGGAGGGGAAACTGTGGCTCATCCACGTCGTCTTGTTCCTCCGCTGATAGTTGCTTTGTTTTGGGGATTCCCCCATTGAAATTGTTATCCTGGACAACTCTATGGGCGTCGGTTTTCTATACACTCTGAAATTATAGGAAACTAACTAGGGTAAGTCAGGGTAATTTCGACCACCGTTTAATTTCGACCACAGGAACACAACACTACACGAAGATCTACGGAAATGTTGAGACATGTTTAATTTATTCGGAATTATAGAAAACTATTCTTCAAATTGTGTGTCCTAGTGTAATTATTCATCGCAAATATTGCTTGATCAGTGATATAAATAATATTTTTACTATTATTTATGTCTCCAGTTTGACGTTCGAAGTCCCCGTCTTCAATGCGCTTGATTTATCAAGGAAATGCAAGAGAGACAACTCGTACAACCTCTTTTTAAGTTTAACCTTGTTCAACAGTCTACAGCATGAATTAAATTAAAATTGTTTTATTTTTTCTTGGAATATCTTTAAGTTTGCAGAATTGTACAAATTTATCTTGGATATCTATCAAAATGCACAAGAAACGTCCATTTGATTTTGGTTGAAATTACCCCTACTGATTTTAAGGACGCGGGGTAAATTCGACCACTTATTCAGAAATATGTGTAAATTGTCTTTAACAGCTGTTTAATGCAATGCAGAGTTAGATCTTCAAAAAAAAAAAAGATTATACTGTATATGTACAATATTATCTACCTATAACCTTTTATATTTAAAAAAAAATATGTCAGATTAATTAACATATGCATACCTAGCTATATACTAGTATATTGTCCGGGCCGTTCACGAGGGTGCATCACTAATCGACGTGCGAGAGAACACGGAGTCGGCACTGGCTATGAAATAGCACATGGCGAGAGCAATCCAAAAGTTTCCAAACCCGTCAAATTAACAAAATAGAGGATGCAGGCAATATTAATTGTATGTAAAAAAAAAAAAAATAAGGTTTTTGTAAATTTTTTTCATTATTACGAATGCCTAAACTTTGACGGATAAGACTGGGGCTATCGAAAAACCAACGAACCAGTTCGTATTAAGATCGTATCACACAGTCCAGGTACACAAATCCAAATAGTACCCAAAATATCAGAACAACACCCAAAAGAGCCACAAGTATCTTGAAACAAAGGAACAAAAAACAAAACAATAAAAAAAAACACTATGATGTAACACGTTATTAATGATTTGTTTGAGTTTGGTTTTTTTCGGGGGGGGGTGGGGGGTTTAAGAGGACTTTGCTTTTGTAAATCCTTATTTAATTGACTTGATCGAATTTCTCAGGATTTATCTCTTCAGAATTTAAAAAAAACACGTAAAATACGTAATACAACGATTTCCAAATGAATGTGTAACTGGTAAAAATTAATGAAGAAAAATATACGCAATTCTAATGCTATGCTCAAACCTTATACATATATATACAATCTGAATGATTGTGTTGTGAAAAGACGATATTAAATAAAATCACTTTTGGGTTTTACATATTAAAAATCGTATCAAAGAAATTATTTGTGGAATCTGAGAAAATTTCATCTATTTGCATAACTATATATATCACAATTTTAAAATATAGAGTTGGCGAATTAAAAGCAGAATTTAGAATAAGGAATAAGAATTAAGACGTCAATAACACAGCATAAAAAAGCTTAAGTAACCCAAACCCATTTCTTTACTGTATGGATACTAGTACTTATCCATTTTAATCTTTTTATTGAGAGAGATAGAGATAGATACACGTATTTTCTAAATAAGGCAATATAGTTTCTCGGACGGGACCATAAATTTTGAATAAAGTGCGACAGGTAAAGTTTACTTGCATTGCAAGAGTTATCTTTCTTTTTGATGTTTGTTGTGGTCGAAATTACCCCGAGGCCGGTCGAAATTAACCCACGCAATATGCTTACTTGTTTTTAAACCAATTCATTATTCTTTATGCATTTTTAACTCCTAAAGCAGAAAAATATGAAGAAAAAATCAATCTCAATCACTTTGAATCTTTTTTAAAATAGTACATTTGAAAACAGTCGTGTTTTGTGGATTGAAAGCCACAAATCAGCAGAAGTGGTCGAAATTACCCCACTCTACCCTACAATTGAACACTCAAAATTACTATTAGCTATACAGAAAATTACAAGCATTTAGGCCAGCTAGTATATATAGTATATGGCATTTTGATTTCAGTTACTTGAGTATACCTTTCTTCTGTATTGGCCACCTGTACCTGACGGATGACGTCATTGGCGGTCTTTGGTCGCACCTGTGACGCCGAGCTTTTCCGTAGTCTGCTTGGTACCACAGGCGCGTGCCACCGCCTTCTATAAGCAGATCGTAACTGCTGCTGCCTGGACTCCGCCTTTTCCTTCTCTCGGTGGAGCTTATATGACTTCAAGGCCTTTGTCATGATATAGTTATGCTCGTTATCTACATCTGTAGAAAAAAAGCAAAAACAAACTTACCCTCAATGAGCTAAAATTCAACAGGTTTTTAAAAGTCTCTCATGCTGCAAGCTTCAGTCGCCATCTTGGAAGTAATGCTGATGAGAAATCAATATCGGAATAATTACCGGTTGCTTTACCCTTGGAGTTTGGAGAGAATTTATTATGAGGACAGATGATACAATGTATGGCTCAATTCACAAATACTAGAAAGAATTGCAGGCGCTGGCATGAAAAAGATAAATCAATGGATCTTTGAGAACCATCGGAAGTAATTTATGAGTTACGTATGGATGCTTTTCACGTACCATAGATGTCGGCACAGGCGACCCGATCTTCGTGGACTTCCTCTTTAGTCTGGAAATAGATAACAGTACAATAGTACTAAAGACGTAACAGGACAATCACTCTGCCACTTCACTGATGTAACGCGATTTTAATAATAAAATAGATCAGAATACAGATGATTATTCCGTGTCAACAAGGACCTTTTAGTGTTTCCCTAACAACAGCTATAAACTAAAAGCAAATCAAACTGGTCAGAATGAGCGAATCATTGCTGTGACAGAGATTTCTGTTTTAAGAATGATCTTGTTATCTCTATTTCTTAATGATACTTCTACAGCATTGGTGATAATATGACTCAAAGACTCCAAATGATGCATGGTGCTTGGGTATAAATAAAAATTACATGTATAATCAATGTATATAGCAAATTAGCCTAACTCTAGGATGGGGTTATGCAAAGGTTAAGTAGATATTCAATTTTCAAATTTTTGCTGTTGTCAAGAAGAATAATATACCTGTAATGCGTTTTTAATGTATAATCAACTTCAACCCACTTGGAGTCTGGTCATGAAATAACAATTTTGGTACTAGGCCCATTGGTTATTTTTATGTCTTTTAGATGTCCAAAAGTAAAAAAATGTTTTAAAGGATACAATACATTTTCAGTAGGTGACCTACTTTAAGGTCCCACTTGAGACCACAGGAGTCCAGAATACCTCAAATTGACAGAGTGCTTATTTTTTATGATAATCAAATAGTCATTCAAACAGATTGTATGATGTTCAGGAGTAAAGATTTTCAAAGGTATGCTGCAGTTTTGGTAAAGGGCCTAGTGCTGCTCATAACTATGGTGTACTAAGAGTTTGTCAGGCAGAAGATATAAGGCACTTTTAACAGATGACCACATAGTCTTACCCTTAAGATTAAACTCCGTGATATTGCTATATGTCCAAATGAAAAAAAAAAATGAAATTTGAAGAAAGCATTAATTTTTATTTTTTTATCATTATGCCCAATACTGTAAAGCAATTTTTATTCTCGAGAACTTTCTTTTCGCGTAACTACACGAGATCGTCTGTTCGCGAATGTTTCTTCTGGATCATAAAATATACATGTACAATAATAGCCTAAAGTTCTGATTTTTATGCCCCCGTATCGAAGATTCGGGGGTATATAGTTTTTGCCCTGTCCGTCCGTCTGTCCGCAAAAACTTTAACATTGCCCATAACTTTTGATTGGTTGGAGCTATGGCTTTCATATTTCACACGTGTATTCCTTGTGACAAGACTTTTCTTTTGGTACCACCATAATTGACCTTTTGACCTTGGAGTTTGACCTACTTTTGAACCTTTTATCCAACTTTAACCTTGGCCATAACTTTTGAACAATTGTTGCTAAGGCTTT